AGTCAACTCTTTTTATGCCTAATGTTCTCCCATCCAAGGATCTGCAGCAGCTCCCACATACCAGTTCCAAATTGGAAAGTCTATGTATTTCAGTGAGGGATTTTTAACATCCTCTCCCAGATGAGTTTGTTTCCTGAACAACCTTCTCTTCACACTACTCTCTATGGCTAGGTTTAAGTTTTTTTCTTACTTTGTAATTTTCTCAGTAGCTAGTATAACTTAGGCACCTGGTTAGCACTTTTTAAACAATCCAAACGTAAACTTGAGAGCAAAAATATTTCCCCTACATTTTGGAATCTGAGGGAGAACTTGGGGTCCAGGAAGAATTCCGAGGCAATCAAGTACAGTGTGGAAGGCAGGATTATGGAAGATCATCGAACAATAAAGTGTCCAGACAGATGGCCGCTGTCCACAGCCATGAAGGCGAATGAGAAGCTGGATTGGGTCTCAGAATAAGCAGGAAAAGCAATGTAAGATGACTGAGGGAAGAAAAAGCGAGGTAGCCGGGCCGGATTATCACACGGGCAAAAGCAGCAGTGGGGTCCCACAGGGCTGTTAAACATGCAGTACCCACTCATTAAAGAAGTCTGAGGAATCTAACTCTCAGGACATGTTTAATGACAAAGAAACAGATGAACACTGTGGGATGGTATCAACACAGCCTGTTCCAGACCCAGAAGAATGAACTAAGTGACACTTAGGATCGCTTCCAGGTCAAAGGTTCTAAGAAAAACAAGATTCATAAACTTCCCCTCTGACTAAATTAACCTCCCACTGGTGGAGTGCAGTGTTAGAGAAGTCAGCAGGATCCTGCCAGTCTAGCTAGGTTCACGTGGTACAGGTTTAACTGGTCTAACTACTGCAAGTTTCAGTGACTGCTGCGTCAGCATTTGGGCTCCAGAGTTAAGGTGAACATACTGGATTTCTGTATTCTAATCAGCAGAGCCTTCCTTACAAGAAACCTGAGCAATGAGTATTAAGATGAGCAGGCTTTTTGCTACACGAAGTTAGTCAGATGGAAAAATCAAGAGCCATATGAATTCACTCATAGGAGGGATATAAAGCAGAAAGCAACAAACGAAGAAACAAGACAGACAAACATGCAAAAACTCATAGACACAGACAACAGAAGGTTGGTTACCTGAGGGAAAGGTTGTGGGGTGAGAATGAAGATGGTAAAATGTATGGTGACGGAGAGAGACTAAACTTTGGGTGGAGAGCACACAATGCAATATACAGATGATGCATAGAATTGTACCCTTGAAATCTATATAATCTTATTAACCAATGTAATCTCAATAATTTAGTAAGTGTTTAAAGACTGAAGTATATTTAATATCAAACTGAAAAAAAAGATGAGTGTGTTTTGAAAGATTAATACTCACTGTAAATAGTGTCATGTATTTCCTCTTTCCCTCCCTAAATCTAACACACACACACCTTCATATTTTGGTTGTAAAATAAATGTAACTAATACACCAAAAACGGTCCCTCCCCACTGTCTCCCATGTACATTTTTTCAGGTGTAATCTATTTTTCCTATTTTATGAATTCTTGCTGCTGTCATGATTCATTTGTGCATTTTTAGTAAAATCAGAAACCTTCCCCCTCCCAACCCCAGGTCACTCTCTTCCCCACTCTGGGGCTCCCACATAAGCTGAACTCACTACACTAACAGATTCTTGCCTCAAAGGTGAAAACATGTTCTTCTGACAAATCAGCTTGAGGAAATCTCTGATTATATAATTGTAATACTTAAAGTCCTCCAACTAATATTTGGGAAACCTAGTGGGTCAAAAATACCAAGCCAGATTTAACTCTCGAAAATTATATTGAGTAAAAGCTACTATCCGTTTTAAAAGTTAACACCAAGATTATATGTCCTCTTCCTCTTCCATACCCAAAACCCCAGAATTTGAAAAAGATACATTTTGTATAAACAATTTCTTTTATTTGTATTGATCGAGGTAAAATTAAGAAAATATATTTTGAGATTCTATCTTTAGCACTAGACAGAGGTTTTCCACATATAAAAACCTTGAAACACAAGAAGTCCTATTTTACAAATGAGAAAACTGACGTTCAAAATAACCAAATGCTTTGCTGTAGTTTCAAAGCTATGACGGTGCAGGAATTTATACTCAGATCTCTTCCCACCAGTTGGAGAAATAATTCCAAAGAAGATGATGATGATGATGATGATGATGATGATGATGATGATGATGATGATAAATAAGCTATTCTGAGGAAAAATTACATGGCAAAAGAGGAATAAAAAATCCTCATGACCAAAAAAAACAAAAAAAACTTTTAAATGGTTGTTAGTATTGATTTTCCGTGTTCTAAAAAATACATTAACTGGTCAAATAAACAAAATACAGTAAAACAAACAAACAAACAAAACTCTCTGAATTCTTCCAATAAGAAATTCTGTGTAGGCAAGTTTTCTGGAGGGCTGATTCTTAAATTTTTGTAAGTGCTTACATTTTAAATTTTTATTGAAAAATCCCTTGGGAACGTGTTGAACACATCCCTTTCTTTACTTAGACCATTAAACATCTTTTAACACTTGGGGCTGGAGGAGGGTCAACGTGAATGTCAGTGGTTGGCCATCAGTGACACAAAAACACATGGGGCTCAGGGGGGAAGAGTGTTCCTGCCACACCCCACACCTGCCAGTCCTTCATCTGGCTGTCTTGTACTTTGTCCTTATTTTTAGGATTGCTTTGCTCCCTCCCTTGGAGTCAATCATCACTTCTAGTTTACATCTACTCTCTATCCGTTCTATTTGCAGGTTCGACTATGACTTGCTGTTAACTGTTTACTCCTAGAACTGCTACTAACAAAGCTACCATTCTCTGAGGACCTGCTGTATGCTAGGCACTTGCTCACCGCAGTCCATTCCATCTTTTTAATGCTCAGTGAATTAGGTATTATACCCATTTTACAGGTGAGGAAACTGGGGCCCAAGTAGTCTGTCAAGTGTTCACACCAAGTAGATGGTGGAGGCAGGATTTACAGTGGACCGCTGCTCCTACTCTAAGGTGACCTGTCACCTCAGTCCTTCTCTGTAGGTGCTGACAGTAGTTGCCTGCTTGTTAGAATTACAATGAGGCAGAATAAAGAGGCACTGACCCAAGGTTCCCTGATCACTACAATTTGTGTGTATTAAGAACTTGTATTTTTGGACACCGAGTTTGCCAATTGTGTTGGGTCAAAGGAGAAAACAAAAGGAAACCTCTTATAAAATATAAATGTCTCTATAGAGGGTGCAAAAAAATGTATACACATTTTAAGAAAGGAAAACTGTATTAAAATTGTAACACTCAATATATACAGATAACAAAAGATGAATACAAGTCACGTTTGACTTCTGCAATTACAAGAGGTGCTCAAAGTGGTTACCATCAGCATCCAAACACTTCTGTTTATGGCGAACTACTGCTTGAGCAACGTTGACCAGTGTCCACTTGTATATACTTTTTGATATACACCCTTGACATAAATGTTGTTCTTATTAGCTAGACAGGGAGAGGATTAATAATAATAAGATATTTAGAAGCAAGCAAACAGAGGGAGTACAGCTGAGGCTACAAATGGGAATTAGGACTCACTGTTTGGCTAATGACCCCTGACCTCCCCAAGCAAAAGGTGTCCTCTCTCTACATCAGACCTGGGCTTATGCAGGTAAGCCCAGAGAGGGCGGGCAAAGAAACAGTTTTCATGAGAATACTCAATACAATGTTTTGACAATTTTATTGGAAAACAAGTACAGTCCTTGATCCATGAGCCATGCTGTACATGACTTGGTGTTTTACTATATAAAAATATTTGGTATCTGCTGCAGATTTATACAAATGCGTTTGTAAAAAGGCCTTCATTACTAACCAGTACAAATATAATTTATCAAAAATGTCATTAAAAATTGGCTCAATACTTTTTCTTTTATTGCAAATAAAAGAAAGAGAGTCAGGAGAATGAAAACGTGAATTCTGCTAAGCCAGTTTTAAGAACTGGAAACAAAAACACCTTAGTGCACGTGCAAACTTTTCTTAAACACTCAGGATGAAAAAAAAAAAAAAAAAAAAGAAATTTCATCAGAAAATCAGTAAAATCTAATTAATGAGTAAGTCCTGAAATGAAGAGCTTAAAAGAGGTTTGGGGATAGGGGTGGGGAGGGAACAGAAACAACAAAACAAAGGAAGTTCCCAGGCAGGAGACTAGGTGTGGTTCCTTCCTCTGGGACCCTCGGCCTGCATGTCCCTTGATTCTTGTCCCTCCCTGAACTCCAGATGCAATGCCACTGGTCATTCCTGACCGTTTTCCCCTCTCCTTATTCTCTGGCCAGTGTTGCTGCTCATTCTCAGTTTCAAAATGGGCTTTCTTGGCACTATACGTGCAAATATATTTTACAAATGAAAGACGAAAAATGCTCAGCAACATTTAAAGCATGTGATCAGCCTTTTGGGGACACGACAGTGCCCCACCCCCGAGGCTTCTGGCTGCAGTCTGTATGCCCTGCCAGATGAAAATAAGGCACGTTCTTTAAAAACAGCAGCTCCAGGGCCATCCGAGTGGCTCAGTTGGTTAAAAGCTTGCTCGAGCTCTGAGCAACGGTGGTTCGATTCCCAGCCCAAGAACAGGAAGGGATGAGACAATATAAATTGGTAACTACAACATGGCCTCAGGGATAGAAAAGACAGTCTGGGGAATATAATCAATAATGTTGTAAATATGTTTTAGGGGGCCAGATGGACTCATGTCTTGTTAGGGAGACCACTTCATAGCCGGTGTAGAGGACTGACAGCCACACTGTACGTCTGAAGCTGATGTTGAATAATATTGTATGTCAAGTATAATTTTATATACATATAGTCATGGGATGTGGAGTAGAGTGTGGGAATGGAGTCAATGGAACTGTAATAGATAAGCATGATATCGGGGGTGGAAGGGCAGTGGATGGGGGAGGAGGTTGTCACTTTGTGAGGGGTGAAAAGGATAACTATTACATTGTTTTCTACACTTGAAACTAATAATAATAAAAAAACGAAAATAAAAAAATAAATAAAAACAGCAGCTCCAAAACAGCCCTATTACTCAACGAGGTCAGATCAAATCCAAGAGAAAACAGGTGGAAAGCGAGGAATCAAGGCATTAAACTCTGTTTCTGTCTAGTTCTGACTACTTTTGGGGGAAAAAAATTTTAAAGTTTGTGTTCACCTATAATATTAAATATTAGAAAAACAGAAGGCCTGCCTATGTTCCTAGGACTTTTAAAATTGTGCTCCGGCCCTTCAGTAAATGGCACAGAAACGTGACTTTGTGGTTTTCTGGGGTTTTTCTCTAATTATCCTGAGGACTACTATCAAGTTTTTAAAAATATTTTTTCGATACCAAAAACACCAATTTGCCTTCATGTTTAATTAACTAAGAAACATTTACCTTTAGGGAAAGAATATATGAAAGCAAAAAAGATTTTTCATAAAAATCTAAACATAATTTTTGTAAATCCCAATAGTCGAAAGACTGGAATTTGGTTTGTGAAATAGAAGCATTCCTAGACTCAGCCCCCATCCTAGAAAACTCTCATCTCTTCTCACAAAAGCGCCAGGGTAGGGGTGAAAGGGACATTTATGGACCGGAGATCAAATCTTCAGAGAACGCTGTCCTAGAGGCCAGGAGGGGACGTGCAAGGCCCAGGGTCCCATAAGTACTGAACGTAATTGTTTCACAACAGGTCACTTACTCGCTATAAAATCAGCACAAACATTAAATAGGCAATCCATGGGCATTTTCAAACAATAAAGGGCTGCACAAATCTATGTCCTATGTGCAAATTACTTGTGAAGGCACTGGGACAAGCAAGAGACTCCCACTCACAACCTGTCCAGCAGAGGGCAAGGCTTCTGGCTGGAGACGGAACAACCGTCTCATACCGTGACGGCCAGCAGTCAGTACTACAGGACTGAGAGGAGACAGCCAGCATCTCCTGGAGGAATGTCTTTTGAGGAAATAGAGTTAGAGTACATTTTGAAATTCAGTAAAATTCTGGTCAGCTGGGGAAAATTCGAGAAGGCCTTGAAGTCAAAGACAGAGATGGAGGAGCGCTGGGGGCAAGTTTGAAGGCACAGGAGGCTGACCTGGGAATTCACACAGCAGAACAGAGAGGGGACGGCTGTGTGTGTGGACAGATTAGGGGTTGGGGGCGGCACTGAAGTGCTAGTGGGAGAACGTGGCTTCAGGTCCTGAACCAGGAGACCCCGTGCAGGCGTTTTAGCAAGAGCAGGATGAGAAGAGAGCAGCATTTCATGAAGGACTGTAATCTGCGGGCTGTGTGCGTGACAGAGCAGAGGGAGGAAGTGACTTCGACGTTGTCCTTTCAGAGAAGTGAGTCAAATGAAACGCAGAAGAGTAAGGTAGACGGAATGGTCATTCCAGGGGGAACGCATTAGAAGGGGATCAATTTTCTGCTACTCTCGCTCTTCAAATTCTCTTTCCTCCAGCGGAAAGCTAAGGTTATTTCAAAAGCTTAGAATCCTGGAGAATCCCTTTGCTCATTGAAATGATAGTTTTAAAGGTCTCTAAAATGAAATTCAGTCTTAGGAAACTGACTGCTGGCAGTTGATGCATATGGAAAATGCAAAGTGAGTGGAAAGTTCTTCAAGAATATTTCTACTTTCCTCTCAGAAGTATCAATAGTCTCGAGACTCTTCCCTGGCCACTCCAGGGACAGTGACCCTGCCATCCCCAGACTGGGCCACCTCACCCTTGAGCTGTGAATGGCTTCATAAAACCGTCTCTAGATGATATGAGTATGCATTTCCTGCATGTTCTTTCCTCTTGTTTGCTCTCCCTGTGCCTTTTCTCAGCAGTTCAAACATTCACACAGGGCATTTGCTGCCTTTTGAAAGGCCTTCCCAAGCCCTCCGCTCTGAATTGCCCTGGCCTGCTATTGTCGCCACGTCCTGCTTCCTTAACAATCCAATTCCAGGTGACCACGGGGATCAGGGACTATACCGGTGCATTTTGTGACTGTACAAGTCAGTGGAGGCACAGGCCAGCCTGCGATGCTGTAAGTCACTTAGGGAACTCTTGGCCAAGCTCCTCCCTGCTACCCGACAGACACGTGGACCTCCCTCTGCAGCGTCTCCTTAGAGTCTGGCCTGGGGTCCAGGAACAGCAGCCGGTCCTTGGAGGAAGGTGGCTGCTGCGGAACTGGCATGTGGTACCTGACGTTTCTCCAGAACTTTGTCTTGGCAGAGTGCAATCTCTCCTCTGTAAAATCCCCTGACCAGTGTATGGCCCCATGTTTCTGCTTAATGAACTTAATGGATTCTGGCATTTTCTCGTAGTCTTGAATTTTCTCCAGTTCCAGCAGGATAACTTTAATTCCGTCCTGAATGAGAGCATTGTACATCACTATTTGCTCTTCAGAAGAGCTCCCCAGCCAGCTGAACCCCGATGATTCTTGGACCAAAATGACAATCAGCCTTCTGCTCTTCTTTATGTTCTCGTTAGTGACCTTAACAAAGTCTGGAAAACACAAAGCATGGCATAGTAATTACAATCCCAGTTTGCAATCATCTCCAGAACCAAAACCCCACAAGGCTCCTCCCACCCCATGTCTCCGAATGCTTTTATTCCCCTTGCTTTACTTAAGATGAAAGGACTTTCCCATTTTATAGATCAACTCAAAATAAAAATTGACTCATAAAAGCTGAATATTTCATTTAGGACTGAGAACACTTTTGGTAGAAATTTAAAAAAACTTCTTGCTTAACCGTATGAGCTATACCACTCCTATTTTATTGTATTGGTTGTAAACCAATTTTTGGATCTAGCTAGTTGTTAAATTTTCCAAAATGAAATAAAACTAAGTTAATTGTTGCTTCAACAAAATAGGAGAAAAGTAAACACTCTGCACTAAATAATGTAAAAATAATCACAATATTTTCACTGTGTGAATTCCCTATTGCATAGAACCACTGAGGAGGTTCTTGAAATTGTCAAATATGTGTACCTACGCCACAGTCTTCTAGAAAGACGAAACCCAACTTAACCCAATTAATTTAGTCATTAAATTCATTTTAAAACAAGAGTTGCCCTATTACGCTCATACCTTCCCCAACATAGTCATCCCTTCCATAAATGAAGAGCTTATAGCCACACTGGTTTTCTAAGACTTCAGGCAAGGCTTTAAACACAAAAAAATCCGAGTTAGAGGTGGACCCTTCCCCAAGGGTCTTTGGATATAGTATGTACGCATCATAGGTCTTTCCATCTGACGCTAAAGGAAAAACATAATGTATTTAGAACCAAAAGGAAAAATGGATTTGGTAAAGATGACATCACAAACATGCATTTCAGAATGAATTATTAATTTTTTTGTACGATAGGATGAATGAACCAGCAATACCAAACGTATAATACCTTTGTAAAGAGCTCAACTCTGACAAGTTTCTGTGTATAGTGTTTTGCTACAAAGTTGCTCTTATATTATTTGATGGCCACCTCACTTGCAGAGTTCTGTACCTCTCTGTATGGGAACTATCTCCTCGTTCTTAACTTTTTCCCCAGATGTCCCAGCCCTGAATCCTACCAGTCTCCCTTTTATATATTGTTGCAGTATTAGGGTTTTTGCAAGGTTGAAACAAAAGAGAGGGTGCTTCCCTGATGCATGAAAATTGAGTCTCTTCTTTCACTTGAAGGCAAATCTTGGGTGATATATGTCCTACTCAGCACAGAGCAGGTTCTCAACAATGGCTTCTGAACAACTGATTGTATAAATATAGACTCTAAATGCCTGTTTATCCCACCATTGTGAACACTAATGCAGTAGGATGAAAAACAATTGTTTTCAGTCTATTCAGTTATGAAACTATAAGCATCTATAAAAATAACTATGATTCTTATATATGTCACATTTAGTATTACAATTTAAGTAAAAACTCTCTTTTTATCTTCTATATCTCTTAACTATGCCCTCTCTCCAACAAGAAAACATTGCATAGAACACAAGAATGTACCTTTTTTGGGGAGAAAATCATAGCAAGAATCCCTGTACCAAAGTACTATGTCAACTTTGAAGATCTTATAGATGAAAACAGAGCTCGTGATTACTACTGTTAGCATGACAAATACACCAATCAAGTACTTCTGGAAATTGGGGACTAGAAAAGAGGGAAAAATTATTAGAGCCAAATAATTAAAATTTTTTACATAGCAAATTAAACATTATCATCCCAGAGAAACCATGTTTCTCTGCAGTCCCAAATCCCAGACAGTATTATTAACCCATTCATTACCACTTAATAATGGATACTCATGCAAAGCCTTCTAGAACGGATGCTATTGAAAATTAATGCACATTGTATTAAATTTCCCCCTAACTAGGATAATATACATTCACATAGGAAAATACCACAGACCCTGGGATAGAGCACTCCAGAGTAAAACAAGTCAAAGTCAATCAAAAGCCTACAAAAGTTCCTGGAGGTAGGCCGGCTGAGTTGGTTAAGAGCTCGCTCAAGAGTTTGAGCTCTGAGTAACAGCGGTTCGATGCCCGGCCCGAGCTGAGCTGCTGCTGAGCTGCCAACAGGTGGCAGGATGGCTCAGCTAAAAAAAAAAAGTTCCTGGAGGTAGAAAAGTCAAGTAAGGAAAGGAAAAGAGGATTAGAGATGCCACACAGAATGTTTCATACTTCCACAGTTCTCATGAATTATTCATCCAATGATTACAGAGCAGGAGGGCAGAGAAGTAAGGTAAAAGGGAGGGGAGGGGAAGGGATGGAGAAGGAGAAGAAAAAAGAATGAAGAAGAAAGTAACTTCTAAATGTCAGGGGCCATGTAGGCATCCAGAAAAGGGAATCTAAAAACTCTCTTATTTTACTTTTTCAACTTAGGTCTTTGATCCATCTGCAACTGATATGGGTATGAAGTATTATAGAAAACAAACAGACCCTTTTCCACACCAATATCCAATTGGCCCAATTGATAGTTTACATTGACAGTCTTCATTACTGGTGCTTCATACATGATCATGATATCTGTAGTGTCAATCTTCCAGATTTGTTGTTTTTATTCAAGACCATCTTGACTATTCTTGGCCCTTTACGTTTCCATATGACTTTTAGAATAAACCTGCCCACAACAACACACCCACACTTGCATGAATAGTGCTGAGATTTTTATTGTAATTGTTTTGAATCTATAGATTCACTTGGAAAGAACTGACATCTTTATAATATTGAGTCATTCAATCTATGAACATTGTATATCCCTCCATTAAGTTAGGTCTTCTCCAATTTATCTCAATAATTTTTTTTTAGTTTGTATTAATGAGGTCTGGAACAGCTCTTGCTAGGTTTATTCAGGTGTCTTTGATCATTTCTGATGCTAATGTAAATATTATCTTTCAAAATTTAACTTCTATTTGTTATTGGTATTTATATACATATAAATACTGCACACATATCTATAGATGAGTGATCTTGCTCAATTCATTTACTAATTCTAATAGTTTGTCTGTAGGTTCTTATAGAATGTCTTCCATGTACACATTCATAAATACCCTATTTTAATTCAACTACAAATAATCTTAAAATATGTCCTAAATACTTTCAATACTGAATTTGATTATACAACTCATGAAAATATTCATTAGGTGTCTACGATGACCAGACTTAATAGCTACAAGCTCTGGAAATGGAATAATTAGTAAGATAAATGGTCTGAACCATCACAGAATTTACAGTCAAGTAAAGAAAACTAAGAATGATAATTATTGTGACGGGGACATATGGTGCTATGGACGTACATAACAGAGGCCCTAACCTGGTCTGTTTGGGCAGAGAGCTGGGATAAGGGCAGGCAGCAGGACACAAAAACTTCCTAGAAGGAGGACTAGTTCAGCCCAGAAGTGAATGAGAAATAGAAGTTACCAAGGTTAAGAGGAATCCAAGAGCATTCTGGGAAAAATAACATTGCAAACCTCAAGGTCATGGAATCTTACCATGGCAAAGCAAAATTACATTTCCAATAAACAGTTTTGTTGTTTACCTGGATGTACTAATTCGATATATGCTGCATTTATACCATTTGTATTCTTGGCTATACAGGTAAATGGGTATAAATAAAATATACTTTTCACTTCTGAAATGTTAAGCGTTGCGATGATTGTATTCATTTTTTTGGATGGATGATTTCCCACTCTATTCAAAAGAGAGAGTAAATAAAGTTATTTAAGTAAATTGCATTACCTACAAATAAGACACAGATGCAGGGTTTATCTCTATTTGTCACATAAACTGCAGCAGAAATAATCACCAGTCCTAAGCACAGGTGTAACAAAGGCTGTTAGCAACAACAATCTGAGATGTTACAGCCCTAAGTCCACCTTAAGTGCACTGTCAGGAAAAGACTCAGTAGCAGAGAAATCAAATTAAAATTACCAGCTTCCAAGAGGGAAAATGTGGACATATGCATTCTGGTCTCCATGGGGCGCAGAGAAGAATATATGACACAGAGTAGACTGGGCAAATGACAAAGGGCTTGAAGGTGATAGTAAGGGGTCAGGAGTATGTCCCTAGACAGGTAGGTAAATGAAAGGGAGCCATTAGAGACTTGAGCAGTAGAGTGCATGAGTCTTGGCGCCATTTAATGAGTCTTTTTTAGGCTACTTTAAAAATGAAATAACAAGAAGCATAATTCAGGAGAATTGCTTCATTGAAATGTTGCAACACATGGGCCGGCCGAGTGGCGTGCTGGTTAAGAACTGGCTTGGGATGCCAGAGGGCCCCGGTTCGGATCCTATAGATGAGGGCCAGTGACATTGCCCCCTGTAGCTAAGATGGTGAATGGTAGCTCGACCTGGGGCTGGGCTGCCGTGGGTCGCCAGCGATGGCATAGGCTACAGTCCCCGGCTGCAGTGGGCTGCCATAAGCTACCGTGCGTGTAGCCGGCAGCCAGCGTGAGCAGCCAGCAGCCACTATGAATGGCCACCCAGAAGCCGGCGACTGATCTGCCTCATCCGGGAAGAGCACAATGATGGTGCCAGCTTGGGCCAGTGAAGCAACATCCTCCACCACTAGACTGAAGAACAAAACGACAGCAACTTGTCTGTTCCCCTTCCCCAGATTCCCCAGTGCTGTTCCCCTCCCCCAATTCCCAATAAAATCTTTAAAAAAAAAGAAATGTTGCAACACATGTAACTGAATTTAAGAGGAAGCCTCCCAGGTAGTCCTGAACTTGCATCACAGTGACATGTATTTTTACTGTAAATGTACGAGATCTAATAAATCATGTTCACTTTAGCAAAACTCAATACGGGCAACAAACGTTAAGGACCAATCAACTGCCCACTAACCCTTGCTATTAGATTACACCATCAAGGTTATATAAAGTAAGGCATGCAGTTTAGAAACACCAAACCTTCTCTATTGCATGGCTGGCTCTTAGCATACTTACGGTGGGTAGTCTTCCACCAGCACCGGGTCATCCTCCTCAATTACGGACCCATTCCACTTCCAGTAGACAAAGTCACCGATCCGGCCAGTAACATTGCATACCAATTGGAGCTGGGATCCTGCAAAGCCGCCATAAGATTTATTGATTTTTATCTGATCTATCTATATTAACAAATGGCTATTGAATAAAAATTTCAAATTCTAGGAAAGCAAAAAAGAAAAAGAAAAATTGTCTTTCAGCCCATCACCCAGAGATGACCACTATTAGTAACTTTCTATATCTCAGTCCTTATCTTCTCTGTGCACATACAATTTTTTGAATGAGGTGTTATTGTCTACTATTTGTAATTATTGTTGCAATGGGAATTTGGGCTCACACAATTAGTTTTCCATCATACAGATGTCCTATGATTCATTATTTTCCTAATGCTAAACACAATTTGCTTCTAATTTTTCATTATTATGATTACTGTTTCAATGTACATTCTTGTACATCAGTATTATACAGTATTACTTTGAATAAAAATATGTAAGTCGAGGGCCGGCCAAGTGGCGCGATGGTTAAGAACTGGCTTGGGATGCCAGAGGGCCCCGGTTCGGATCCCACATATGAGGGCCAGTGACACTACCCTCCACAGCTAAGATGCTGAACAACAGCTCAACCTGGAGCTGGGCTGCTGTGAGTCGCCGGGGATGGCGTAGGCTGGAGTCCCCGGCTGCAGTGGGTTGCCATGGGCTACCGTGTGTAGCCAGCAGCCAGCGTGTGTGGCCAGCAGCTGCAGTGAGCGGCCGTCCAGAAGCCGGCGACTGGTCTGCCTCTCCCGGGAAGAGCGCAATGATGGTGCCAACTTGGGCCAGTGAAGCAACATCCTCCACAACTAAACTGAAGAACAAAACGACAGCAACTTGTTCCCCTTCCTCCAATTCCCCAGCACTGTTCCCATCCCCCCAATTCCCCAATAAAAATCTTAAAAATATATATATATGTAAGTCGAATTGAGTTAAAAGAGATACATATTTTAAAAGCCAATCCTCCTCTCCCAAGTGAGGCTCTGCCAGTCTTACTTGTGCCTGGCAGTGTGAATAGGTGACATTTACCCCCCAAATCCCCAATAGCCACCATTTTTGGTTAGTCTTTGCCAATTTAGAGTAGAAAACAATTCCGTTTAAATTTTCATCTGTATTTCTTGAAATCATGGTGAATTAACATGTTTTTCATAAGCTTAGTGTATGTTTGTTAAGAACTGCTCATTATGCCTACTGTCCATTATTTAATTGCATTCTTGTATTAAACTTACTACTGATGTATAGGAGTTCTTTATTAACCAAGGATATTAATTCTTTATCATACATGAAAACTATTTCGGGCCAGCCGAGCAGCATGTTGGTTAAGAGTTGGCTTGGGAGTGAGAGTTCTGGGACCCGATTCGGATCCCACATGAGGGTCAGTGATGCTGCGCCCTCTACAGATAAGATGGTGAACAACAGCTCAACCTGGAGCTGGGCTGCCATGAGTTGCCGGCAACAGCATAAGCTACAGTGAAGCTGCAGTGGGCTGCCATAAGCTACCGTGAGTGGCCAGCAGCCAGCATGAGCTGCCAAGAGCCACAGTGAGCAGCCGTCCAATGGCCGGCAACTGATCTGCCTCACCTGGGAAGAGCGCAATGATAATACCCAGCATGGACCAGTGAAGTGATGTCCTCCACAACTAGACTGAAGAACAAAAGGACAGCAACTTGTCTGTTCCCCTTCCCTGATTCCCCAACGCTATTCCCCTCCCCAAATTCCCCAATAAAATCTTTAAAAATCAACAACAACAACAACAACAACAAAAACTATTCCAAATATCTTTGTTGTTGTTGTTTTAAATTTTTATTGGGTAACAGTGTGGTTTTTCAGGACCCATCAGCTCCAAGTCAAGTTGTTGTCCTTCAATCTAGTTGTGGAGGGTGCAGTCCAGCTCCAAATCCAGTCGCCATTTTCAATCTAGTTGAGGGGGGCACAGCCCATTATCCCATGCAGGAATTAAACCGGCAACCTTGTTGTTAATAGCACGTGCTCTAACCAACTGAGCCACACAGCTGCCTTTTTTTTTTTTCCAAATATCTTTGAGAGTTTGTTGCTTTCATTTCATTTTTGTTTATGAAAATTCTTTGGTGTAGATACTTTTATTTTTTATTTGGTCAAATTTGTAACTGTTTATTTTATCTGTTTTTGCTGTTTTTTGTTTTCATAAAAGCCCTCTTTACCGCCAAATCAGGAAAATATCCATGTACATTTTATTCCGGACATATAACACTTTCACTGTTTTATTGCTTTAAATGTTTTAGTTCTCTAATCTGTCTAGAATATAATTGGGTATGGTATGAGGAGTTTTAACTTAACGTTTTTAGACAAATAGCTGATTGATCATCCCAGAACCACTTATTAAATAATAAATCTTTTCCTCACTAATTTATAATGACACCTTTATCATAAAATTAATTCTTATTTGGAACTTTCTCTGTTGAACTAAATGTGAATACAGATGCTAAGGGTAACACATTCTTAATTACTGGAGTTTTTAGGGTAGGGCAAATATTAATATCATTTAGAGCTCTTTGTCCCAATATTATCTTAATAATCTCATCATTTTATTCTAATATTCTTCCAGGTGAATTTTAGAATCAGTCACTATTTTTTTAATTTTTATTTATTTATTAAATGTATTGGGGTGACATTGGTAAATAAAATGATATAGATTTCAAGTGTACAATTTTATAATACATCATCGGTATATTACATTGTGTGCTCACCACCCAAAGTCAAATCTCTCTCCACCACTATATATTTGACCCCCTATACCCTCTTCTGCCACCCTCAGCCCCTTACCTCTGGTAACCACTATAATGTTGTCTGTGTCTACGAGTTTTTGTTTGTTGCTTTCAGTTTTATATCTTGCTAAGTCAGACGGAAAAAGTCAAGAACCATATGATTTCATTCATATGTGGGGTAGAAAACTTGCCAATTTTTAGCCCATTCATATTTGTACTGAAATTCCATTAAAATTATAATGTAATTTTGAGAGTCAATATCTTTATAATTTCCAGTTTTTCACATAGAAAAAAAACATACACACCTCTATTACAGCTCTTCATTTTAAATGGGTGTTTTTCAAGATTCCTTTCATTATTGTTCCCTTCCCCTTCAGGTGTTTTTATCCTATTGGCCAACCTCCCCATGAACTAATATCACAGATAAACAGCACATCTGTTGATTCAGATTTTTTCTCTCCATTGGACACATCGCCCCATCCCTCCTTTGAGAATATATGCTTCAAATGTCTCATGTTTTCTGAGATTTCCATGTTAAGGTTTGCTTTTTTTGTCCTCCCTTAGAAATCCCATATATATATTTTTTAATTTTGCTAAGGTATTTTATAGACATCTCTATGACAGTTACTGCCGCAAGTAGGATCTCTTTTCCCATTGTTTTCTAGCTGGTTATTGCTAAACAACTAATATTTTTAGAATATTAATTTTATATCTCACCAATTAATAAAATATTAATTCTAATTTTTCTCAAGTAATTCTCTTGAGATTTGTAGGTACGTAATTATAAATTATGTGATTTGAAAATAATAAAGTCCTTTTCTCCTTGTAGTAAGCACGTGTTGGTTCTTTTTTTTTTTTTTGTCTTTGTTTGCTTTGGTGGGCACATGTAGAACATGTTAAGTAACACTGGTTATGTGGGCATCTTTGTCTTGCTCTTGACTTCAATGAGAAGGTCCATGCCTGTAGAAGGCCTAACACTATATTGTAGTGTTTCACCATTAAGAATGTTGGTGACTCTTGGTTTGAATAGATGATATTTATTAAGTTAAGAAAGTGTCCCTCAATGCCTGTATTCCTAAGTCATTGTATTGATAATTTGTGTTTAATCTGACCAAATGTCTGTTTGACACGCTTCGGGATAATATGATAGGGTGATGTGTGCATCTGATCAATGTGATATATTAAAATATGTGTTTCCTAATGGGAAACTATATTTATGTTTGGAGATCAATGCAACCTAGGCTTTAGAGTTTTTTTAAAGTATAAACCTCTAGAGCAGTGGGTCTCAACCTTCCTAATGCCGCGACCCTTTAATACAATTCCTCATGTTGTGCTGAACCCCACCCATAAAATTATTTTCGTTGCTACTCTATAACTGTAATTTTGCTACTGTTGTGAATCATCATGTAAATATCTGATATGCAGGATGTATTTTCATTGCTACAAATTGAACATAATTAAAGCATAGTAATTAATCACAAAAACAATATGTAATTATAAATTGTGAAATATTTATTTCTAATTACAAATAAATGAAATGTTGTCTTGAAGCATGGAGACGGATAGAGGAGTGGTGTCTCGGTTCCTAAGACCATCGAAAAGATGTGTTTTCCAATGGTCTTAGGTGACCCCTGTGAAAGGGTCGTTCTACCCCCAAAGGGGTCGCGATCGACAGGTTGAGAACCGCTGCTCTAGAGGATACATTCTCATGGCCAACAAGGAAAAATGTAGTTGTTGGCGAGAGGGGCAAAAAAATCTTAGCTATTGCATTGGTTTGTGGCTCCCCCAAAGTGCCATTGTACATCAACAGATAGACAATATCTCTGTGCTTTAAAGTTCTAAGGAAGGGAAGAGGATTAGGGAGTAAATGCCTTTTTAGGCTCTAAAGGGAAGCAATAGTGGAAAAACAAAACAAAACACTGCTCTAGATTCTTGGCCTATATTTAATTTTGAGTTTCACATCTTTGTTAGTTTATATCTAACAACGATTTTATATAATCTTCCACCATGAATAACAAATTGGCCAAGTACAGAATTCATAGGTCACAAATGTTTATCTTCTTACAGTTCATTGTCTTCATGTGGCTACTTTTACAAAAACAAATTCTGTATGCCAGCCTGATTTTTGATCCTCTGATACAGAAATCTGTTTTTATGTTTAGACCAGTGGTTTCCAATAGAACTTTCACTGATGGTGAAAATGTCCTATATTTATAATACTGGTAATCACTGGTCATATGTGGCTGTTAAGCCCTTGCTGAGGAACTAATTTTTAATTGAACTAAATTTATATATATATATTATATATATATATATATAATGTATATGTATATATATAATGTATATGTATATGTATATATATATGAATAAAAAAATCTTATGTGGCTAGTGGCTATTGTATAGTACAGCATAGGATAGATGCTTATAAGATTTCTTTATTCTTGAAATAAAAAATGTTTACTAACTTAGGAAAGTATCTTTCTAGAATGACTATCTTTCTGGCCTATAGTCTTATTCTTGCACCTAAAAGCTTAGCTCTGGTCACAAGAAACTCATCCTGTGCCAAATAAATTACATTTCTCATTCCTAGGCCTATTGAAGTTGGCCTTCGGCAGGTGTTTTCATGGGTAATAAGTGTACATAGGAAAGCAAGGATGGGCAAATCAGGCATGGTTAGAGTTTTGCCATAAGAGGCAAGAAATCCAAAGAAACATTTAAGAGACAATCTTTGCCACTGTCTCCGTAATTATAGATAAAGCTAGTAAACTGCTTAGGTTCTGTGTAGTAAAGGTACCATTCCCCTTAATCGAGTTCCAAAAAAAAATGATTTCAGTGTATCCTGATTGGAAGCCACTTACCCAAGACCACTTCCATCGTCTCATTAACTGGACTCTCAATCACAGGCCTCGTAGGCTTGATATTCTCTGGAAGAAAAACATCCACAGGGCTTCTCAGTCTCATATAGATCAGAATCTCAAGTGATGACAACACTTAGCCAAATATACCAAAATATACTCCATAGCATCCAGCCAAACATTCCCCTGAGTGCCTGAAGCATTTACGATAGGAGGCAGAAAGCAAAAGGTGAAGGAAGGAGGCCAACACAAAAGCCTCAGCAAAACCATGAACACCTGTTACAAAGCCCAGGCCCTTCAAAACCCCCCGAGTTCGGTGCTACAAAAAAACACACAACACGAGGACCTACGTGTCCATACAAGCGGCTCTCTTAAAGAAAATCAGGAAAAAGGGGCAGTCAGGAAAAGGTACTTTCCTGGAGGGAGCATTATTCCCCAGAAGCACCATCTAATGCTAGGCCTGCTTGTATTCAGTACCTTTAAAAATGACTTAAGAGTGGAATGTTGAGCAATGTGGCATAATTAAAATAGGCAAAAAATATTAAGGAACTCCAGAAATTAATCTGAATTTATTTACAAGAAGATTGGCTTCAAGGGTTAATCTGTGGCCAAGCCTGAGAAAATATGAATGTGAATGTCAAGTATTCCAAAAATAAATAAATAAATAAACTCCATCAGGACAGAATATTGTCTATTTTGTTCGCTAATATACACTCAGAACTGCGCCTGGCACATAGTAGATGCTCTGTAAATAGTTTTGAATCTGCTTTTAGGAGAAAATGAAAAATGAACTCAACCCTGATTAAGTATATAACTTCTACATAAGGGATCAGGAAACGTGATGGAGAGTATTTCAAGCATATTTGACATATCTGAAAATTCCCTAGTGCCCAATTTTCCCTAAAATGAAATTCTGTCTGCTGGTCTGGTTGTTATATCTCAAGAAAAACAAACCAGAGCTACACAATGACAAGAAAGAGGCCACTAAAAACTCAAGATGCTTGTGATAGAGACTGTTGAAAATTAAATTCACTGATGCTTATGGGACCTAGGCAAGGAATTAATGTTGGTTCAATAAAATTAACTTTGAAAAAATATATTACTATAGAATTGAGAAAACTCAGCTACATGTAGGATGATTATATTCTGGGTGACCCTGGGACATTCCCATTTTACACCTGTTGTCCCAGCATAATTATTAGTAAGAGACTCCTTAACTTTCAAAATGCTGGTTAGAGACACTCTTTGCATATTACTGAAAGCTTACAAAAATTGATATTTACAGAAAGGTTGAGAATTCTTCCCATCCCCAGGTAATTTTTAAGAGTGCATTTTGTTATAAAATGATTTGTAATATAAAACATGGTTAATAGAGAATTGAAAGCCTCAGGAAAATGAAAAAGAATAATCATCGTACATGTATTTACTGCTCATCTGTTTTGTACCAGGCACTGTTTTGCATCAGACACATGATCACATATTTTATCTTTAATCTTCCTAACAACCCTGGAAGGTTGTATCATCTTTCCTACAGAGGAGGAAACAGGCTTAAAGAGGTAAAGTAACGGGGCTAACAGGGAACTAACAGGAGGTAGATTCTGGGAGGGTAATTTATTCCAAAGCCCGTTAGCATCCACACCATCATGTCAATGATTCTCATTGGTGGACACTCAGATTCCCCAAGAAAAGAGGAATTGTCCTCATACACCAGCCAGAGACAGCCCCAGAGCTCTCTGGAAGAAGCATCTTTAGCCATCCCAAAGAACAAGCCTCTTAGTTCAGTTGGAAAACATAGCTCAGATTGTCTGTTTAATTAGCACTGCATCTAAAGCAGGGATGAAAGCCATTTCCACAGCATTTAGCAACAAAAACTAACTGAAGCCATGTGTGTTCTTTGGCATGTCATCAAGTTTCTCTTGGCTTTAGTCCTCCATGAACAATGAAGGTAAATTGAGACTCACGGTGTCTGGGCCTTGCCGGATTGAAACTCCTAGGGCTAGAGCTGTGACTCACCTAGAGTAATAAGATTTATAACCCGGGTGATACGATATTGCTTTCCCAAGTATGCGTACGATGCATGGCAAGTATAGTTCCCTTGATGTGCTTCAGTCACATTCTTTATGATGAGTTTATTGGTTTTTCCAATAAAGTTTATACTGTCAAGGAGAGGTTTGCAATCCTAGATGGAGTGACAAGAAGGAATTATTGAAAACCAATTAATACTTTTCCCCCAGTCTGCTAGCAAAAGAAATTCCATTTTTTTTCACATCATCATATAGAGATAGAGAGATAGAGATAGACATAGAGATATATAGGTATATAGGTATAGATATATATAAAGATTCAGATACAAATATAAATATAGATATAAAATACATACTATATATTTTACATATTATATATGTTATATATCCATAATACACACATACCGGGGGTGCCAAAAATATGTATACACATGACTTGTATTCATCTTTTGTTATCGGTATACATTGAGTATTATAATTTTAATACAGTTTTTACTTCCTTAAAATGTGTATACATTTTTGTGGGGCACCCTCTGTATATACATACATACATATAAAAAGAAAGGTTCCTTGCAAACAAGTTTTAATATTATAATTTTTATTCTAGAAGTCATAATTATATTCCTAGGATATTAAATTTTTAGAACTACAAGCCTTGCACTTTGAAGACAAGTGAAGTTAATTTTATTAGGCAAAAAACAATCAAACAAACAAACAAAAAATGTGAGGAAAGAATGCTAACACTATGCTATCATTTCTTTTGTACTCCTTAACCTCCACAGGGTGACCCACTTTGTAAGCTCCAGCAAACTAGGTGGATCAAAGGTGCCAAACATGATCTGTTCCATGGCGGGCTAGCTAATCCACTTTTAAGATAGTTACAGAAACCACTAAGTTATTTAAGGACCACTTAATATTTTTAATGAAACACAAAACAAGATATTTTGTAATAAATATTTACCTCTTAAAAACCCTGAATTTATAATCAGGCTTATTTCTAAACATCTTTTATTCCTACTATACTCTTCTCAACTCTATCTTATTAAATTGAATACAAATAAGAGAAAAGTAAGACTTTAGTTAAGCTGCAAATTAAATGTATGCCATCTTACAACTTTTTTAAAAGTTCCTATTAAGTTTCCCTACTCAAAAGCAAACAATATGCCAAATTCTTTGCAGATTCATCTTATTGTCTATGACAGAAAGCTATTTTGTTGGCTGGAAAAGTAAAATACCATATTTAATATAATGTTACCTTATACCACTGTATTTTGGGTAATTCGTTGTACTCATCTTCAAAATGATACAAATAAGGACACACAAGTTGTCCATCTTCTCCAATGAGTAGTCTCTGTGGAAATATAGCTTGTGCGTTGTAACACATGTTAGGTTCATGCTGTACAAACTTTATAGTTATTTTAGTCTTGAGGCAGTAAGTTGAATTTCTAAAATAAATCAAAATAGGTAAATTAAACACTATCAGAAGATTTTTCTGTCTTTAACTCTTGCGGTACACAGAGTACATGTTTGTAACACGTTACTTCCTTTCTTACCTTACTACACAATAGTAATGTCCTGAATCCTCTACCTCAGCAGGAACAAACCAAAGCTTATCTTTGTACTGATGAACCCTGGAGTCTCTTTCTGTAGATATACGTGTCTTGCTGCCATTTTTGTACCAACTTATAGTTCTGTTTTTTTCATTTGTGTTAAGAGGACACGAACGGGCATCAATTTCATATGCAGAAGAAACTGAAATCATTTGTTCTTCACGTTCCTCACATTTTTCTTTAAAAGGGAGAGAGGAAAAGCAAGTTGTATAAGAACTATGTCAATGTTTCTTAATGTAATGTTTACATATAAACACATCAATTATTAAATACACCAATTCATATTAAATATGAGAGTTTTAACAGCTTTATGATTAAGAACATTATCTTGGAATTTTGAAGATTTATATTCAAATCCAGCTGTGGGGCTGAGTGCCCTTGAGCAAGTTATTTAACATCTCATCACCTCTTAATTCACGTAAAAATTAGTAATAATGTAGCAGGAAAGACAGAGTATCAGAGACTGGATTTACTCTCCCACCTGAACAATTAAAAGTATATTAAACAACCATATCCAAAACTGAACAACAAGGAACACAAAGGACAGAAATACCAGAAAGATGGAAAACAAAGGAGGTGAGCCCTATAATTTTCCAAATTACTGCCTAGAGAGAGACTCTGGGCCATGACATTGCAAAGAGGAAATCTAGGCAAAGTCCAGCGTTCTCTCTGAGTTGAGGAGATGGAGCTGGAAATCCAAGTAAACCAAGAGTTTGCATGGCAGAGTACCAAAGAGATCAGAGTTGCAGAGAGAGAGTGACAGAGAGAGAGAATGCGCTTTGGAGATCTACAGAGAATCTCCCTCAAGTTTTCAGCTGAGTATTCATTAGTGTAAGTATATAAGAAAACTACGCAAAGCCAGAGTGGGAATTATCAAAAAGATTAGATTGACTAATACCTGGAGCACACACAATTCTGGAAATAGTTGCTGTTATCAAAACCTGGAATGGAAAACCTCATTAATCATGAAAGACCTGGTAGGATACCCAGAAGGGTTTTAATTCAGTAAATGGGCAAATTAGCCCTAGAATAAACCTTCTTCTGATCATAAGTAAAAAAGCTTTAAAAGCAGTACCTAAAAATATCAACTGTCTCTTTGTTCTTCATGACAAAACAAAGCTTAGGAACATTTTCAGTAATACAAAAATATCCAGCACCCAACATGGCAAAATCTACAATGTCTAGCTCTAATAAAAAATTACTAGGCATGCAAAGAAGCAGGATAATATAAACAATAATGAGGAGAAAATAATTAGTCAATCAAAACTGACCAAGAAATAACAGAGATGATGGAATTAATAAATGGAAAAATTAAGTTATTAATATTGTGTTCCACTTCTTCAAGATGCTAGATCAAACATGTTGGGAAGAGACATGAAAGAGGTTTTTATTAAAGCCCTGAATCAAACTTCTAGAGATGAAAACGACAATGTTGACTTCAAAATATAACACTGGTGTGATTAATGGCAGATTTGACATTGCATAGGAAAAGATCAGTGCACTTCAAGACATAGCATTAGAAACTACTCAAAATCAAATACAGAGAGAAAAATAACGTAACAAAATAAACAGGGCATTAGTTAGCTGCAGGACAGCTTCAATATATGTAATATGAAGCCCTGAAGAAGAGGAGAGATGGGTAAAACAGAAAAGTATTTGAAAAAATAGAAGTTAAAATTTTTCAAGATTTTATGAAAATAATGAACTCATAGACCCCCAACTCACAATGAATCCCAAGCAAAAGAAGCATGAAGAAAACTACACCAAACAAAGTGACGCAGCATTCTTGACAGAAAGAATACAAACCGGAAGAGAATGGAATGCAGGTAACTACTGAAAGAAAAAAAAAATCAACCTAGAATTCTATATTCAGTGAAAGTATCTTTCAAAAATAAAAGCAAAATAAAGAAGTTTTTCATATTTATAAAAACTGTAAAAAAGTCATCATCAGTAGACCTGCACTACTAGAAAATATAAAGAAATCCTTCAGAAATAAGAAAAACAATATCAGGTGAACAATGAATCTACAAAAAGGAATAAATAATACCAGAAATTTTTACTACATGGGAAATTATAAAATGTTTTTCTTATTATTTTAATCTCTTTTAAAATAACAGAACATTCAAAGCAAAAATAGTAACATATTGTGAGATGTATAATACATAAAGAAGTAAAATATATGGGAACAAAAGTTCAAGAAGGAAGAAGTGGATGTATACTGGTTTAATTTTTTAATACTATATGTGAAATGGTATAGTATCAGTTAAAGGTAAACAGCAATAAGTTAAAGATGGATACTAGAAGCCCTATAGCAGTTATTCAAAAAACAAAAAAGGTTACTAGTATAATAGAAGCCAACATGAATCATGAAAATCCTCAATTAACCCAAAAGGCAGCAAAAAAGAGAAAAAAAATAACAAAGAATTGATGGAACAAACAGAAAATAAAATAGCACAATCCTAAAATTAATCCCAACATATTAATAATCATATAAAAAATGTTAATGCTCTAAACACCCCAATTAAAAGGCAGAAATAGATTAGATAAAGAAAGAAGGCTCCAACTGCATGCTGCCTAACACACGTGCTCTCATCCACCCACACACTTTAAATATAAAGACACAAATATGTTAAAAGTTTTAAAAAGTGTTGGGGGGAATGTACCATGTTAACACAAACCACAAGCAAGTTTAAATGGTTATTGTTATCAGCCAAAGTTGATTTTACAAAAAGAATATAACCAGGAATAAAAAAGGTCATTTCATTATGATAAAGGAGTTATTTATCAAGAGGTACATAGCAATCCTAAATGTTGACTCTCTCACTAACAGTGCTTCAAAATGTATGAAGGAAGCTGATAGAACTGCAAGAAGAAATACAGAAACCCACAATTATAGTCAAAGATTCTAATACCCTACTCACAATAATTGATAGAACAAGTGGAACCAAGACAGATAATCAGTAATGATATAGAAGACTTGAAGAACATATCAACCAACAACAAACTTACCGAGATATACCATACTCTTGCTCATAAGCCAATAATTGATACATTTAAAAGAATTCATATTAGACAAAGTATTTTCTCTGATGACAATGCAATTAAATTAAAAAACAATAACAGCTAGAGATCTAAGAATTCCCAATGTATTTGAAAAATAAAAAACATACTTCTAAATAACTCATGAGTCAAAGAAGAAATGAAAAGGGAGATAGAAAGTATTTTGACCTGAATGATAAGGAAAATAAAACATGTCAAAACTTGTGGCATGCAATAAAAGCAGTGCCTAGAGGAAAATTGACAGCACTATATCCTATCTACAAAGAAAGATCTAAAAATGATAACTTCAGTTCCCACTTAAGAAATTTGGGAAAAAATGCACCCAAAGGAAGCAGATGATAGTAAATTATATAGATCCAAAAGAAAATCAATGAAATGGAAAACAGAAAAACAATAAAGAAAAATCAAAGCTACCAAAGCTAGTTCTTTCAGAAAATCTACATGATTGCTAAAATCTCTGATCAGGAAAAAAAAGAGAGATGACATCTCTCATGAAAACACTCTTAAAAAGAGTAATAAGGGAATATTAAGTACAACTTTATGCCAATAAATTCAACAATTTATGTGAAACAGGCAAAATCCTTGAAAGGCACAGACTAGAAAATCTCCCTCAAGGAGAAAGATAACCCAAATAGCCCTACAGATATTAAAGAAACTGAATTTGCAGCTAAAAACCTTCCAACAAAGAAAATTTCAGGCTTAGATGGCTTCACTGGTATATTCATGGAAGAAACAATACCAATTTACACAAACTCTTCCAGAAAATTGAAGAGTCACTAGGACTTCCCAATTTACTCTAGGAGGTCAGCATTACTTCAATACCAAGACCAAAGACATTAACAAGAAAAGAAAATCACAAACCAATCTTCAGGATAAACAAAGATATACAATTTCTTTAAAATCGTTTAGCAAATTGAATCCTTCAAAATATCAAAAAAGGATAATGCATTATGATATGCATAACATCCTAGAAATGCAGTTGAATTCACATTTTAAAAAATTAATCAATGAAAATTCCATATATTGAAAGATTTTTCATAACTATATAAAATCATCTCAGTAGATGCAGAAACAGCATTTGACAAAATCCAAATAAAATTTCTCAGCAAACAAAGAATAGAGGGGAACATCCTGAATCTACTAAAGGACAGCTATGAAAAACCAACAGCTCCCATATATAGTAAGATTAGGTGCAAGGTAAGGATGTTCACTCTAGTCACTTCTACTCAACATTGTACTGGAAGATCTAATTAGTACATTAAAGCAAGAAAAAATGGCATCCAGGTTGAAAGGGAAAGCAAAATGTCTATTTGCAAACATATGATCATCTATGTAGAATATGCTACAAAATCTACAAAAGACCTAGAAGGATTAGTAAATTGTAAGATAAAATATAAATATGCAAAATTGAATGTGTTTGCATATACTAGCTAAGAACAATTAAACACCTAATTTTTTTAAATGTCATTTACAATAACATCGAAAGATATAAATAACTAAAGATAAATCGATAAAAGATGCATCAGCCCTATCCAATGAATAAAATATTGCTTAAATAAATTAAACAATATCTAGATAAATGAAGACATACTCTATTCATGCATCAGAGAACTTGATATTGTTAAGGTGTCAGTTCTCCCCAAATTGATTTATAGTCAACTCCATCCCAATCAAAATCTGAGCAGAACTTTTTGTACAAATTTATATAAAATTAGTCAAAAACAACTTTGGTTTTAAAAAGAACAAAGTTGAAAGAGTTATGCTGACATATTTCAACATTTATTATAAATCCAGTGGTATTAAGACAGTTTAGTATTGGCATAAAGATGAACAGGTCACTGAAGCAGAACAGAGGTCCAAGAAATAAATTACACAAACACATTCAACTATTAATAATTTTTTACAAAGGCACAAAGGAAATTCAGTGAAGAAAAGATAGTCTTTTCAACAAATTAGATACCCTTATGCAAAAACCAAAACAAAACAAACACTTCTGAGACAGGATTTCCAGAATGGCAGTGAGGGTCTCCATAAATTTACTCCTCCATAAAAATAACAAAAAGACTGGAAAAATTTTTTCAAAATCAAAGGCTTGCAGCAATCAGAACATTTATTAAAAAACACTACCACCACCAGCTGAATCTCAGTAGAACAGCAGGATTTGTAACTTAAACCACTCTCACTCCCGGTTCTTCCCAGCTCCACTGTAACCTCAAAAGCCAGCAGCTTTACAAACACAGTAACTGTTAAAACCAGCAGGCTTGCAAGAGCAGACGGGTTTGGAGCTTTTCAAAAAAGCTGCATTCCCAAGCATTGCCACGATTTCACCTGACTGGCAGCTCCCTGGAAAAGTCATGCTCACAGAGTGGTGTTGTTACTGTCGTGACTCAGAGCTCCATAGAAAAAGCACTCTCCTCTGAGTGTTTGTTAAAAAAAAAAAAGCAATCAGTGGCAACTGTGTAACACAGCAGCTGCCCTAAGCTGTGATATCATCTGGCCAAAAGAAAAAGGAAGATCTGGGGAACTAAATGTCCATAAGGGGATTGGAAAAGCTCTAATATATCCCTGGGTAATCCAGAAGAGTGCACATGTATGCAGGGCTGTGTACATGCTCAGGAAAGACCAGAGAAGCACCAGTCTCTTAAATATAGATGAACTTGAGGTCATGCACAAGCAAGAAATGAAGGCTAAGGCAGAGGTGTGAAGGGCCTAAGTGTTGAAGACATACCCCAACACACACAGAGCCCCTCAGCAAAGGATAGAGGTCTGATTGGGTCAAATAATCCAAGGAAACCTCTGACCAATCATTAGATGACCAAGCAGAGATTTCAGTAGCCATACACTACAGAAAACATAGATCAAAAGGAAACTTTAGAGAGCGATAGATATTCATTATCTTGATTGTGATGATGATTTCAGGGTGGATATGTATGTCAACAGGTCAAATTATATATTTGAAACATGTGTGGTTTATTGTATGTCAATTATAACCTCAATAAAGCTGTTGAAAAACATAGAGCTGAAATAAATTGACTAGCATGGTACCTACACAGAGTGAGGACTCCTAGTATTTACCTATTAGGAGTAGCAGTAGCAATAACAATAGTAGTGACAAAAAGACTAAACCTTAAGTAAGGTCTCAGCTACAGGCCTGGGGTTTGCCTCACCACTCCACCGAAATTGTTCTGACCTATGTCACCTATGACTTTTAAGTTGCTAAATCAAATAAACATCTCTCAGACATCATCTTACTTAACATATCTGCATTATATCTGACAGGTATTATTACCCAAATGACCTCATCCCTTATCACCTCCCTGACTTTTCACTCTGTTCCAACCACACTAGTCTTTTAGTTCCTGGAACATGCCAGTACGTGTGGCCCCAGGGCCTTGGAACATGCTGCCTGGAATGTTTCCCTGCCCCAACCTGATATCTGTGTAGCTTCCTCCTTCAGATTTGACTCCAAAGGCAACTTCTCAGTGAGGCCATTTCTGGTCGGTCACACTATCAAAAAAGTTAATCTTCTGCCCACCCTAGTCCCAAAACTTTATATATTTCTTTCCTGCTGCTTTTCTCTCTATATTTATCACCATATGACATAATAAGTATTTACTTATCTAATCTATGGTCTCTCTCCCCTCTGGAAGGTAAACCTAGGGCCAAGCACAAGGTACCGGCTAAATGCATTTGGAGTAATAGAGGGTGAGGGAAAGAGAGAAAAATGAATAAACAGAGAAAACAAAGAACTGTCTCTGGATGGTTTCCAGCTGTGGGTTCATAAAGGCATTTAACACCTCTTCTGAGTGAAAGCCAGGATTTCCCATCTCATACTCTTCAATCAGTAACACAATGGGAAGAGGCCGGGACCAGACACTGGACACCTGGATGTAGCCCTTGCTCTGAAACTAGAGAAATAACCTTGGGCCCTTAACCTCACTAGGCCTCAGCTTCCCGATTTGTAAACAAGAAAATGAGAAGCGAAGATGCTGAAAGGAACGCCCAGCAGTACAGTTCTATGAACAGAAGGCTCTGTGCCCTGGCATCCAACAGAAATGGGTAAGAAAAAAGATAACATTAGGGGAGGTACTTCATGTATTCTGAACAACAGATTTTCTTAGCAGACAGGAACACAAGGACATGCTTAACTTACCAGCCTCCAGAGGAGAAATCAGTAGAGCTATGAAAAAAGCAAGCTCGAGTGACACTTTCATATTCTCCTGAAGAAACAGAGGAATGAAAGACAAACAAAAATAAAAATGTTACTATTCCAGAAAAATCTCTAAAACTACATACAATGGCTCTCCACCTATCCCCACCCTCACCCCCAAGTCACACTGATGGGTTCGTCTCCCTACGTCATTAATGTGATCCTGCTTCTGCATTGGAAATAGGGGAAAAGGGGAACGAAGATTTTTAACAGAAATGGGGACAAACTCAAACAATTTAAGATTAGTAAAACTTCATCATCTGTCCCATATTCATTTCCAGTCTTGAATATCATTTAAATTTCCCCCAAATCTTACCTATGCTACATCCAAAGTAGACTATCTACTAGACCTGAAACCTGCTTGCCTCTACGTATGTGGATTTGTTCCCTACCTGGAAGGCACCCCACTAACAGGACTTTCAAAAGTCTCCTCATACTTCCAAGTCCAGTTCAAAGGTCACACCTTCATCTTCTAAGGTACGCCACTAAATCATTAGTATAAAATTAAATCACTGCATGGCAATACACCCAAAAGGACTACACGAAATAGTAATAATATATTAAAAATGGGTTGGTTCTTGTGGTTGGGCGGTTTCCTCGTTCTCTGAGGCTTTCTATTGGAAATGTCCACAATGAGCATGTATTAATCATTATCCCAAAGAAAATAAAACCTCCATAGCACCCCCTTCCAGCCCCCAAGTGAATTAGAAGGCCCCACCAACATAGCATCAGCTACAATGGGTATATCGGTCAGCCATAGGACTACATAATAAACTGAAGTCCTGGTATTTTATTATTTTAATTACATAACACTTTGTCCATATATGTGACAGGGAGTGTACTCAGAATAGGCACCTGATTCATGCTGGAAGGGGACCATACCATCGCCTTATCTACAAAAACAACGTCACTAAAATAATAGCAATTGAATATTAAAAAGAAAAGAAAAACTGTTTACTCTACTAAACTTCTCAAACCCAAACGAAGGTAATGTTCAACGTCACCTTTCTTCCTCTCTGAGCGTTCCTATTACGTGCTCCTGAATGGGGTTCTTACAATTATGTACAGGAAGTTCCGGTCTGGAACCTCCAGGGGACTTGGGCACAAATCTACTCGAGGGCCCACGAGTGCCTCAAACTCACTAGGTCCCAGACCAAACTCATTCTCTCCCCACCAAACTCGCTCTCGAGGGCTGTGGGGGTACGGCCCTGCCCCACAGCGACCATGCACCCACCCAACAAGAGATCTGAGCTCAATGACCCTGACCCTGCAGTCCCCCACCCCAGAGCTGCTCTCTCACCTGGCCCTGACCAGTCTGCCTGCTTAGATCATCAAACCCACCCACTTCACGCCCACCCACTGCTAATGCTCAAGAAATCACCAGCTCCTGCCTGGATTAATTATGGCAACAGACTCCTTACTGCTCTCTCTGCCTGTGGATTCACGGCTTCCATTCAAGCCAGAGAGCCTATAGACTCTCATAGTTACCAAATGATCTATTCAAAACATCGTCACAGGCTCCCCAGTGCCCCCGAAAAAGTCCAAATTCTTTAGCAAAGCATACAGGTTCTTTATGCTGAGGCTCCAATTTACCTCTCCAGACTCAACCTGGCCCCCTCCCCACCTCAGTCCCTAAGTGAGCCCTCACCTTGCCCTGCTCTCTAGCCTCAGAGCCTCTGCCTTCACCTGGCCACCTCCCAGTCCTCCGGTCTCAGCCCAGCCCAAGTCACTCTCCTCGCACCCTGCCCAGGGAGCCCCAGACCCCTTGCCTAGCTAGCTAGGTCTTTCTCTCCTCTGGGCCCCCACAGCAACCTGTGTTCACGCCGGTCATAGCCTTCAGCACATTTCACTGCCATTATGCAGGCAGGAACCACTACACCCACAGCATCCAGCCCTGAGCTTGGAACTCAGAAGCCCTGGATAAGGTCTCATGGAATGAATGAAAAAAATCCTCTACCCGACCTCAGTGGCGATGTCCAGAGCAGACCACACTTTGAAAAAAATTTGCCCTTTGATTTTTTTACGGGACTTCAAATTTACCTATATTCTTATTTGTAGCTCTAAGTTAATTGCAAACATGAACTATTTTAGCCAAGACATCACTAATTCAGACTCTAATGGCATGCAATCGTTTCAACAGTAGTAGCTGAAAAATGTTCGATTTAAGAAGTGGCAGTAAAAGGTATATAAAAAATGTTATAATGTGCTTTTTAAATAAATGCAGGAAAAAAGACTCCAAGCATGAGAGACACCCCCCACTCTTATTCTCAGCTTACCCCCAGCATGAGGACAGCGATCTGTACACCTGGCTCATGCCGTGAATCCTACCTCAGAGCAGTAAGGCTGCATCCCTTACGCGTCCTGTAATTCTGACATTTTAGTCACATAAATTGGCCTTCTCCCCAATTAGCCTGGATTAATAGTGTCATGATCATATTTACCTTTAAACTATATTCAGATTACTAAAATAAGGTAGAAGGCTTTGCTGTCTGACACCCTGGCTTATGTGCTCTTCCTGTAACTGTGAGCAAGTGTTTTAAGCCTCTCTGATAGAGAGGAAGAAAAGAAAGGGTTAAAATGCTGCCCGAATACCAGTTCCAGGCTGATCAGTTACTCACATTCGTTTATGAAAATAAATAAATAGGTAAATAAAGGCACTATAAAACCTACTGTCAGCTGTTAATTTCACTACAAGATCTGGCTTGTTTGATTACTAGGCAGGGGAGGAGAACAGGAAGACGCCAGGCTGAATTTATACAGAACATATCTTGAGATAAAATTCCAAATTAATGGTGAACAAAGAATACTTAATAATTTCCAGTCCAAAGCCAGGGGCCTGCTGCTACAAGGCAGTGTGATCTTGGACATGACACCTCCCTGGGCTCAGTTTCCTCATCTGTACAGCTGGGCAATGAGTTAGATGATCTCAGGCCCCTTCCTGCTCAAATAGTTTACAAAACGCGGCAGCCAAGCCCCACAGGTCCAGGTTTTACTTTGCCGGCCCCAGAACTGTTCTGGGAAAAAAGTAAGGGGGTGGGAGTGGCCCCTTCCTCCAGCAGGAGATTTTTCTGACCCTAGGGCCAGGGGTCATCTCCAGGCAATGGGATGGGACCTAAGAGAGTGAGGACAATGGAAAGGAAAAAAGGGAAACATTTGTGTTCTCCTGTATGGCAGGCAGAGTGCTAGTGCCAGAGACAAAACTAGTAAAAAATTTTAAATGAACAAAATAAAGTGTAAAAGGAGAACCTGCTCCTCTAGGTGGTCACCATTCAGGTACTTGGCCACGTGATCACAAGATACCTTCCACATACCCAATCAATGGCGCTCGGCCCCCGTGCCTCAGTTCCCCCATTTGACAAAATGGGGATAATGATAACAGCATTCGTTGACAGTTGTGAGAATTAAATGAGTTGTCACATGTGAAGGGCTGAGATCACTGTCTGGCAAATGGTCACACCCAAACGTTAGCCATTGTAAGTCACCCCATGCTCTGATGACAAATAGAAGTTGTAGTAAAATCTTTTCAGATATCCATTCATTTCTTTATCCATTCATGGCCAAACTCAACAATTGTATACTAAATATCTACTAAATGCCTGCGTCTATACTTGGTCTCGGGGAAACAACATGAATAATGACCCAGGACCTGGCTCAAGGAGCTCATCCAATGGCAGGGAAAGTGGGCAAATCCACAGAAAGCTATACCATGTTCAGGAGTGTCCATGATGGGGAGAAAATGCCGGGGGCATGAGGGAGGCACTGCCATAACTCAGCCCGGAGGAGGGCTCCTGGAGAGGTGTTGGGGCAGGGGGAGAGTGTGGAGGAGACCGATACTATCATGCTTGAAGCATAAACCAAAAGTGTGTTGTCACGAGGCAAGGCTGGAGAGGCTGAAAGTGCCCCAAACAGGAAGAGTCTTGTTGAGGCATTGGAACAGCACTTTGTAGAGGGTCAAAAAGGTCACTTAAGGTTTTAAGCCAAGGGGTGGGGCATGATTAGATTTTCATTTCTTTTAAGAAATTTTGGTACTTGTGTGGAACATAAACTGGAGACAAGAGGGGAGGCAAGGAAAGCATGCTGCCGTGGGGGGTGTTCAGATGAGAAAGGATGTCACAGCCAGCAGTGACAGACAGACAGAAGGGGGTCATATCTAAGACCCCCTCAAAGGCAAGCAAAAGAAGGGGTGACTGAGTGAGTCTGGGATGCATCAGCCCTGTTTCACTCAGGGGAGCCCAGTGGGGAACAGATCCAGGTAAGGAGGGCAAGTTCCGGCATCGACAGACAGCCCGAGGAGATGCTGAGAGGGTGTCACTCATGGCACCCCCAGGCCTGGGTCTCCAGGGACTAGGTGAGCAGTGCTGTCTCCAACTGAAATGGAGAATTTGAGTATGAGGCAAACGTTAAATGAAATAGAAAGCAGGGCCTGGAACTGGAGAGAGCACAGACACTGAACTGAGAGCCACCATCACACAGGTCATAAGCCGTCACTCTAGGGAAGGTGAACCTGGGAAAGTGGGTGAGCAGTGGCTCTAAATGGAGTCGCAGACCCCTTCAGAAACCTGATAAAACCATGGAGCTGTCCCAAAGAAAAACATACTGAAAAAAATAAAATATTCTGTTTACAGTGAGAGGTATTCCAGGACCACCTGAAGCTGAGGGCAGGATTTCAGCTGTTTATGATAAAGGGCTGGCAGGCTCCTGGGGTGACCCAGCCCTGTTACCTCTAAGAAGGTCTTTTCTTGTAGGAAGTAGTCCAGCAGCTCAAGAGAGAGTCACCATCTTTAAGGGACTTGTCTACCTGGGGAAGGGAGAGCACACATGAGCGTAAGTTTAAAGTCACCGACTGCCACACAATTTCAAGCGGTGTCAAAAAAAAAATATGAAGCTTACAAACATGAGTCATAAGTTTAGAGAGTGTGTGTGCCACAGTTTCAGAAAATCAAGTCACGGGGTGAGGAATACAAAGAACTTGACACCACTAACAATTTTTGACTAAACACATGTACCTGGCACTTTGCTAGACACAGAGATGCAGAAATGATTCAAACCACGTCTAAGAGACTCACAGCCTAATGCACTTGGAAAGTAAAGCTCAGAGAAACATACCCGATGCCAGACAAAATGAAAAAGTCTTTTTTAAGAACAGGTACACCCTACCAGTTCTCACTCTTCCTTATACCAAGGGTATGCCGATACCTGCATTGCAAGTTACATTATTTGAAATAACTTCAGAAAGTCTGAGCTGTGACTGCCCTCCCCTTATGTCCTGGCAACATATCCATTCATTCTCTGCTTTTGCAGTTTACTTTTAGTATTTCAGAATCTCAATCTCTCTCTCTCTCTCTCTCTCTCTCTCTCTCTCTCTCTCTCTCTCTCTCTCTCTTTCTCTCAGGTTTGAATTATTTCCTTAGGCCTTTGAAAAGCTTGGAAGGTTTGAGCATAAGGCCTTTAACAGCCATAAAACAACCTGACTAACTTAACACCAAACGTTTTGCTTAGATGAGAAGTACTAAATACCACCTTATTATTCACTTTAGACGTATGAGACAGGACACAGCATCACGTTAAGATGCCAGAGGCACACTGGCTCATCAGCATGAATCATAACATGTCATGAAATCAAAGAGAAGACGATGTGATCCCCTGTCTCCATCCCCCCCACCAAGGTCCCCCCAGCCTCCCATAGTGTGTCCCAGAAATGACTGTAGCTGATGGGAAACACATGGGGAATGCCAGATAAATTAATAGATTGGGGGAGGGAGAAAAGATGAGCAAGAGGAGTTAATTTATTTGCAGAGGCATTGACATCCCACGCCCCCCTAACCACTTCACTTTTCCTGTTCCTCTTTGCCCCAGAAACTTCTTAAAAGAAATTTTAACTCCACTTCCTCCACTTCCCACCCAGTGCTGAATGGCACCGCCGGCCGCCTCCTGTGCTCACTGCTCCTCTGGAGCGCGTTGCCCAGGCCACCCCAAGCAAAGGGCCCCCCACCTCCATTTTACCAGACGGGCTTGCAGCACTTGGCCCCACCCGCCCCACCTCCTTGCCTCCCTGGGCTGAGGCCAACGCCACCCCGCTCTCCCTTTCAGGCTCTTCTCCTGCCCATCTGTACGCACCGTACACACCCTAGTTCGCCAGCTACTTTTGTGGCTCTGACCAGCTCTGAGAGCGTTCTGATCAGAAGCCTCCCCCAGAGTCCCCTGCGGACACCCCTTCCTCCACAACCAGCAGCACCAAGTCACAAAGGTTCTCCCTCTGGCAGCATTGATTGCGGGGCAGGGGGGCTCCCCGGGTTGCTGGCCTCCCTTACCTGGGCCAGCAGGTACAGAGAAGCCCATCTCCTCTCCCACACTCCTGTGAGGGGGGCCCCATCCTACACATCTTGCATGTATTAAGAGCTTAATAAATACGAGATGTGATCAAAGTATATGATGAATGATTAGATTAAAAAATTTTGATTGTTGGGTTGGGCCAGCCGAGTGGCTCAGTTGGTTAAGAGCTCGCCCAAGAGCTCACATTCTTGGGCAAGCTCTGAGCAACAGGGTCACCGGTTCAATTCTCGGCCCGAGCTGAGCTGCCAACAGCTGCCAACAGCTGCCAACAGGTGGCAGGATGGCTCAGCTAAAGAAAAAAAAATGTATTGCAGTAAAAGACACATTGCCATTAATTCCCCTCAAAATACTCCCTCTCACTTCAAACACACATATCCCATCATTCGTGCCACTTTCTGAAGCCGTTCTGGGAGTCCTTTTTCGTGAGTGTCTTTAGTTGCGTTGTCATGGCTGCCTCAATGTCCTGAATCATTTGACTTTGGGAAAGAGCCAGAAGTCACACGTTACCAGATCCGGTGAAGAAGGTGAATGAGGACACACCATAATGTTTTCATTTGACAGAAATTGCCATATACCAGAAGTGATGTGTGACACAGAGCGTTGTCATGATGGAGGATGATTTACGGCACACTAAAACCCACCTTCTTTTCAACCGTAGCTCACACCCGACAGACTGCACTGAACAAGTTGAAACTTGCCACACACGGTTACTAAGGTTCAGCGCACTGCTTTCCAGGATTGAAGACCCCTGTCTTTCCATCAGATGGCACACGGCAGCAGCATTCACCGTATTTTTATCACACCTCGTAGTTGGGAGGGAAAGGAGAGAAGGAAGGGAGGAAGGAAAGGAGGGAGAAAGAGGGAGTGAGGGAAGGAGGGAGGGAGGGAGAGAAGGCGAGAAGGAGGGAGGAAGACATCCACCTACTATCTTTGCATTAGACCACATAGAGACAAAAACCTGACTTAGAATGAAGGGGGGCAAGGATGGAATATGGGTATTAAGGGTAAACCAGAGAACAGAAATGTGAGAGGAACTATTATTGGGGTCTGGAGATGGCTGGGAGTCATACTGGAGAAGGGAGAAAACTAAAGGAGTGAGACAAAGGGCTCATAGCCAGAGGCTGGGGAAGAAGATACTGAGGGAGACAGGAGGGGGAGCAGGACTAGAGACAGAAGCTATTAACCCCAGAAGAAGTACCAGGCAAGGAAAACCTCCCTTCTTCAGAATACACTTAGTGAAGTCCGTTGTGATTTTTGAAACTGGTTTATAATAAAATTCAAAATGTACTTTTAGAAAGTATCAGCAGTAATAAAAAGTCACAGATTTATTCCACCTAGCAATTTTTCAGATGAATTTTCCACATAAACTGAAAGGATTAAAGAAGGGGAAAGGATTAACTGCCCCAATCCATTAACCAGCCCTAACACACTGCCTCCCTTCCTACCTGAGCTGCAGCGATGCCAAGGTTATGTAAGGAATTTCCAGACTCGCTAACACCCTCTAGAGCAGCTTTCAGCTGCCTGGCGTGCAGAGAGAGGTGAGGCAGTGTATTAGGGCAATCACGCCCAACCCCGGGCAGTCAGCAGGGCCAAGTGTGAAAACAGGAAGCACTGCTTGTTGTGACAACCACATGAAAAAGCTGGCCATGGTGGACTTCCCAAGCATAGATACCATTGCTTTTTGGTGATTATGATGACATACTTATGTACAGGACAACATGACTATGGGATACATGGAACTCACAAAGCTACTTGTTTATTGAAGATAAAATGAAAATGCACATTTGAGGCACGAAGCAATTTCCTACTAGACCCAGAATGAGAAATTTTAACTTGAACTAAATTACCAAAGCAGAGATTACGTATAAGAATTTATAAGGAACATGTTGGCCCCTAACAGAAGCCCCACTTCCAGGAAGGACTGACTTCTCTGTAGTGCCATCCTGTCACTGCGAGAAATTCCATGCCAGGGCAGACACAGGAAGAGTGACAGCTGGGAGACTGAGAGGTTGTCACAAGAACCCAGGAGGTTTCCTCAAGACCCAGGACCCCTGTGCGGGGGGAGGGGCATTGTTCCTCCTTGTAGCCATATCATATCTATTAATGCCTTCTTACTCTTGAGGAATTTCCTCCTATTCCTGAGGAATTCCCCCACATTGTGAATCTTGCTTTCCCGGACAGAAGTCAGGCCTGTGGCCACGGTGGCACGCATCAGACACACCCCAGACATCACAAGCGGTGTGGGTCCACTTCTGGGGAGAGTGGCAACAGGGATACTAGCGCTGGGGGTAGTGTCTGAGCACAGACTGCACTGCCCAATACAGCATCTGCACAGGGCAGTCCCCCTGCGTGTCTTGCGCTGTTTCTCTCTACATTAACTTCCAAGCCTGACTCCCTCGCCTGTCCCCAGCTCTGTCCTATATTGTGAGGGCCCCTGAGTGTGCACATGTCCATGTCCATCTCTCTACTCCCCACCCCCCACACAGCCCTGGCCACTCTTCACACCAGGGAGGCACACAGGCAGTGGAGTCCATGGGGAACGACCCAGGAAAGAGGCATGCATAGGCCCTGGCACCAGGGACCAGGCGGTTTGGGCAGGGAATTCCAGCTGTCCCTCTGGGTACAAGGATCACGCTCAAGGGTGAGGTGCTGGTGGGCACAGGTTCCAAGTGGGCACATCCTCTTGGCCCTCCAGCTGCTGGCCATGCTGAGGCACATGGCTGGCTAAGAAGCAGAGAGGAGCCCTCCATGGCCTGGGTCTAGGACAGCTCTGAGGCAGACATACCCCAAGGACAGCTGCCAATGATTATCAAACTGTACTTTCAACGGAAGTCACTTCAAAAGACAGCCTCAAACTTGCTCTTAAATGGGGACACCCCAGAGAAACCCAAGACAAGAGAAGGGATGGCAGTCAGTGACTCCTGTTCTCCAGGGACCAGAAGAAGCAGAGGCCCACTTCTGCAATTGAAAAAGAAATTCTAACGGTACTTCCCACGTTCCGCCTTATACCAACTCACTCTTCACACTGAGTGCCTCACAAATACATACACATCATCATTTAATACAGCTTCTCATCCCAAACCTTAATCAACGTGTGTATGTATGTACCGGGGGTGCCAAAAAAATGTATACAAGTGGCAACTTTGGTCAGCGTTGTTCAAGCAGTAGTTCGCCGTAATCAGAAGTGTCTGGACGCTGATGGGAACCACTTTGAGCACCTCTTGTAATTGCAGAAGTCAAACGTGACTTGTACTCATCTTTTGTTATCGGTATATAGAGTATTACCACTTTAATACAGTTTTTTCCTTTCTTAAAATGTGTATACATTTTTTTGGCACCCTCTGTATATTTGACACGATGGAGAAATGTTTAGAGAATTAGGCTCCAACTATATAATTAGGTCCTTGACTAGAACTGAGAAATGACGGTGGATGAGTTCCTGGAAAAAGCAAGGACTAAAGCAGG